CCTACATTTTATTAGATTTTTCTAATATTTTTAACAACTCTTGTTCATGCCAATAACCCTAAATTAATCGATAGAACTTCAAATTTTATTAGCATGTTAAAATTACCAAACACTTTGATCATCATTCATCTGCCAAAGAAACATGACAACTCAGTATTTTTTCTCCTTTAAAGCAAAATAAAAAATTTTTAATCTAGAGTAAAGCTTTAATACTCATTTTAGATATTTCTCTAGTCCATTTATTTTTAAATGTTTAAGAACTATATTCTGGTTATTAATAATGACATTTCTTACCAGGATCTGCTAATCCAGTGGTCTCTAACAGTATGTAATCAAATTTCCCTTTCTTCTGCATCAAATTCTCAATAGCTCTAAGGCCACTGTCCCTGGAGAATGCCAAAACATGATATACATTGATTGCCTGAATATTTTAAAGTGATCATCACAAACATTTAAAAATATATTTAGCAACCAGGGATAAAGATATCTTTAGGCATGTGGAAATTTACCTCAGTCCCAAGCTTCTAACATGTCCATCCAGTATTTACCAGTTTGGGGGAGGGGAGGGAAATGGATGCGTATATGCTGACAGGTAACAAGAAATCAGATACTTGATGAGTTAATACTTTAATTTTATTAAAATTAAAAGCAGAGGGAATTTTAATATACCTGACTAAAGTAAGTCAGAACCTGTTATTTTTATAGCTTTATGAAAGAAAAAAATCCATACAGAAAATGACAAAATTTAGGAATTACAGTAGCTTAATATAACAGCTAAAGGGACACTATAATTAAATACCTTTCAATTATGTTCTGAATTAGGGTAGCAGGCTTTAATTTCCTTTTTTTCTTAATAATATCAAAAGTGCAAGAAAATACTTAATTTTAATTGTCTAAGAAAATCTGTTATGTTTTAGCCTTGTTAATACACTTGACTCAAACACCTAAGATAGTAAATGATGTAGAAGAAATTTAATTCACTAGAATATACAAAATCAACCATATGGGTATTGATTTTCCTAATCTGCTCAACAAACATTTGAGTGACTGCTATGTGTCACTCCTTTTCTAAGAGCTGTTATATTGGTGAATAAAACACTGTCCTTGGAAACAACTATAACTGGTGGAACAGGATGTGAGGTTTTTCTCTTTTTTCATGGTCATTTATTTTTGTTTTTAGAGGTTGAATTCTTGGAAATAAGACCAATGACTTATTAAATTCAGAATAATCATTTTTTACACATTAAAAGAGACTTTCATGCACCACAGGGATTATTAATTAAACCCTGACATCAAAAACAACAACAAAAAACTCAATAAAAGGACCACAGCTTTAGAGCAGATAGAAAAACAAGGCATCAAGAAATGCTTTAAGAAAATGCATACTAATAAGCCGTTTACTTGAAAATACAGTGAAGAAGATTATGTAGATTCAGTTAATTTACATAAGGAAATCAAAGCCAGAAATATAACCAATAAACATTTCCAGAAGCCAACAAGCACACAGTAAAAACATTCCTCACTTTACGGAACAGCAGAGGCAACCGTTTCTAAGTTCCAGCCATTCTTCGTAGAGCTCTCCACCTTGGCTGACAGCTAAGGATTTCTCCAATGCACTTCCTAGAATGATTAACAAGAAGCACTCTTTAGATTATGTCCACTAGTCAACCAAAAACAAAGATGAGTATACTCAATAATGGAGCAGATTTCAAAGCAGACAATACATTTCATTACTTTTATTCTTTCATTCTATTCAGGCTGCCTCCATATTTTAAACAATACTACTCTAGATTATTTTAGCTTTTCTTTCTTTTAGAGAATTTAAACCCCTAAAGAGGCAAATGTAAAATCTACTTCCTCTTTAGGCCTCTTACTAGGCTGCTCCCATTTCCTAATAAAGTAGCTATTTTAAAGGCGTTCCTTCTTGTCTTTGGCCAACTCTCTAGATAGACCAGTATGTTTATATATTGGTTTTTATATGCCCTTCAATCTCTTACCTATGCTTTCTTTTCATTCTTCCTCTAAATTGTTTCTGTGTCTACTCGACAGACTGTTCAGTATTCCCCATATGACTTACACCCTTAGTTCATTTTGAGGAAGTTTTGCTTGGCCAGGGTACCAATGTGCTCACTTAAAAATTAAATTTTAATCAAATACACATACGTTTCCTAGCAATGCTTACTTGAGAAAGGATAAAGTATATTTGAGAGCCTGAGATGCTTGTTATCAAATAAGAGTTATTTAAAAGTCTTACTTTTCCTCCAGTAAAGAAACATACCCAAGCCAGGAAAGAGTTCTAAATATCCAGTAAAGCAAATGACCAACAACAACAAAAAAATAAAACCTGAATAATTTTTCACTTACATATATTTTTTGTTTATACTTCAGTTAGGCAATGATAAAGAGTTTTGAAAGGGGCTGCTACAGAATTCAGGGTGTAGAGAACATTAATAAAATGAAAAGGAAAGTAATACAAATGCTGTAAAGGACAAAGTTGTAAAAAAGGTCCAGAAAGAATGAAGAAAGATAGTAAGAAATAATAATAAATGTAATCAGTGTCCAACAGAAGATCAGTTAATAAGAAGTTAGAATTAAAAACTATGATTAAAAAATCTTAGGATTTTTATTTTTGTCTAACAGGACTCTTTAGTTTACTGAAACTATCTTCAGTTTACTAAAACCAGAAATCAAGTTCAACTAACAGGCCTCCCATCCTGTTAATAATCCTAGCTCCTTTACCAATTTGTAACTGAAAAAAAAGTATAATTTAAGAAATACCCTAACTGAAGTTATATTTTTTGGCTAAACATGAGTTTTATTAAAATTCACACTTAAGAAGAAAAGCTTATAAAAGAAATCAGAGAATTGTGTCTAACACTGCTGTATACATTTTTTGAAAACACAGTTCAATATTAAAGACAAAAAAACTGGAATGTTAAATGTACATATTTTCACAGATAAAGGAAGTTGCTTGAGGATGGAGACCACATGTTTAACTTATTTTTTAAATCTTCTGTTTTAACTGTTTTTCAGAATAATAAACGTTCAACAAGATAAACTTATAAGCCTGAAGCATTTTCAAATATATTTCAAAAGTTGCAATTATACAATACAGTCAGTACAAAAGGACCTTCCTAGTTGGTACAAAATTCTTCCTGAAAGATTTTCTTTCATATCCTTAGATTTTTACTTCTGGAGATATTTATTTTATGCAAAAATCTAATTTAATTCTGTTGGTATGAATTCTAAAGTTAAACAAAATAAAATTTTATAGAAATTATCTGATTTCAGTATCTCGAATCCATACAAAATAAAGCTTGAGGGCTTCCCTGGTGGCGCAGTGCTTGAGAGTCCGCCTGCCGATGCAGGAGACGCGGGTTCGTGCCCCGTTTCGGGAAGATCCCACGTGCCGCGGAGCGGCTGGGCCCGTGAGCCATGGCCACTGAGCCTGCGCGTCCGGAGCCTGTGCTCCGCAAATGGGAGAGGCCACAACAGTGAGAGGCCCGCATAACGCAAGGAAAAAATAAAAAAATAAAAAAAATAAAATAAAAGAAAGCTTGACATAAATGAATCTAATTTTTCCAAAACTATCTACAGCAATGTGTTCACATTATCATGTCTTGCATTTTCATTTTAAAATATGGAATATCAATTCACCAGTTGAATTAACTGTCCAATAAATTCTTGCAGCATGGCATTTACTGAACTTTACTTACCTTCCCCGAATTCATTTAAAATCACTGCTATTCTTTTACTATGTTGCTCTGTCAAAATATAGTTCAGAAGTGTTGTCTTCCCAGCACCTATAAAATATGTTTTAAATAACAAAATTAAAAGACTAATTTTAGAGACACAAAAAAAGATATAAAGGGACTTCCCTGCTGGTCCAGTGTTAAAGAATCCACCTTACAATGCAGGGGACGCAGATTTGATCCCTGGTCAGGGAACTGACCCATATGCCACGGGGCAACTAAGCCCGAGTGCCACAACTACTGAGCTTGTGGGCCTCAACTAGAGAGCCTGAGTGCTGCAAACTACAGAGCCCACGCGCCCTGGAGGACGAGCGCCACAACCAGAGAGAGAAAACCCGCACACCACAACTAGAGAGAAGCCCGAGCACCGCAATAAAGAGCCCATGCACCGCAAAGAAAGATCCCGCGTGCCTCAACAAAGAGCCCACATGCCACAACTAAGACCCGATGCAGCCAAAATAAATTAATAAAGTCTTAAAAAAAAAAGATATAAAGAGTCCCAACACTCTTTAAAATTTGCATGCTATTCAAATATTATTTAACAATGGTAAAAGAAGATTCTAGAGGAAAAGATTAAAGTATCCTTTGAAAACTATTAAAAATGCTTTATGCTAACATAAAATTTTATAAATATTTACAAATACTCCAACAAGGTGGGTCACATAGATTTCTTTGACCTTATATGACAAAAAAAATATACCTTCTATATAACTTACACAATTAATGTAAGGACATCTAAATTTTCTATTAAATAAGGAATTATTGAAGTAAGGGCTCCTACGGAATAAAGTACTTGTGTAGTTTATAAAATATAAAATATTTAAATCCCTTCACACGATGACAATGTTTCTTAGTCAAGAATATATGGTTTACTTCCCCAGAATTTACACATAAAGACCTTTCTTTTATTTTAACATTCACCATTAACCAGACACAAATTCAGAATATCTATATGGCTACTTTTAGTATGCTTAAAGCAATCTATAAAATTGATTACACACACACACACACACACACACACACACACAAAATGGAAAATGGACCTAGGAAATGTTAACAAAAGATACAATAATCAGTATTAGGAAAGAAAAGTTCATAAAGCTACGCTAACTCTATCCAGTAGGTGGCATATTACACCTAATACATTCAGCTCAAGCAGAAGAAAAACTTGTCTTGTGACCCATACATACCAGTCCATGGAGGGGAAAACAAACAAACAAACAAAAAAACCCTAACTGCATGCACATACTATTGCAGTTCAACTGTATAAATATGTCATTTATTTACCTATTTTTCTGCTGGTGCGCATTTGAGTTGTTTCTAGTGTTTTGCTATTACAAATAGTGCTGCTAAGAACTTTTACAGGTAAGCTTGTACACATCTTCTGAAGTACATTTACAAGATTTCTAGGGTATAACTAGGAGGGATTTACTGAGTAACAGGGTATTAATTTCAACTTTTTTGGGTCACATTCGTATAAAGCTATCAAAGGGATGGAAGGCTTGTATTTAGCGGGCTTTAGGAAGCTCAGTATCACTAAAGGTTGACATTTAGAATGGAAGGGACAGACCTTAAGGACACAGGGCAATGAGAAAATTCTTAAAACCAGTCCAAGTGTGAGACAGGTGCCCTGAGCATGAGTGCTGCACTAAGCAGTGGCAGTGAAAATGGAAAGGAAGGGGTGGATGTAGGAGACCTAATAGAATTACTAGGGCATCCTAATTAACCATATTATGAAGCAAAAGATGTTAAGACACAGTTCAGTCACTCAAAAGTCTCCTATGGACCAGATTTTATACTGAGCCTTGGTGAAAAGTGCACAAGACACAGACAAACTCTCTCTACCTTCCGGAAGCTTAGAAACATTAAAGGAAGTGGGAGAAGGAGGGGAATTCAGAGCAATAAAGAAGCAATTATGCCATGGGATGACACATTCAATAGATATACAAGATGTCAGGGAGCACCTAAGAGGGACATCTAGCCAGAGGACTAACAGAAGAAAGTATTCCCGGGGCCAAAACACTTGGCACACTGTAGAAGTAAAAGTCGTTCAGTGTGGCTGGGCCACAGTTTCGCAGGCTAAAGAGGTGGTCAAGAGCCAGATTGTAAAGCTCTTGTAATTCATGTTAAGGAATTTGAACTTTAACCCAAATAGAAACCAATGAAGGGTGTGACAAAATCGATTGACATTCATAAAGATCATTAAGGCTCAAATACAGAGAATATATTAAAGGGCAGCATGACTCAAGACCAGTTAGGAAGCTTTAGAATATTCCAGATGGTTGGGCTCACAGAAGCAACCATCATTCATGATGGGATGGTAACAAGAAGTTTTAGACATGCTGAGTTTGACATGTCTGTGGGACATCAAAATAGAAACCAGCTGGGTATGAAGTTAAAAGGATAGACAGAGAGGGAAAAAAATAAATTTTAAAGGAGAAGCCAGAGAAGTAGGTGGAAAATCTGATGAAAAATGTGATGGAAACCAAGGGAACAAGAGTTCAAGAAAGAGAAAATGGTCAAGAATAAGTAAGGAAACTATCCCCTAGATTCAGCAACAAAGTTGCTGGCATTAGTCCTTACTCCTAAACTTCAGACCATTATCTCCAATGCTCTTCTGATCTACCAGTGAGCAAAATGGGGAAAGACAGGAGGCCAAGTCTCAACTATACTGTTTCAGACAAGAAATGTGCTCAACTTCGCAGTAGAGCAGCCTCTGAATAACAGTGGGAAATTCCTTTATTAATAAATAAACTCCTTTATAAAATTAATCCTGAGTAAAAATGAAAATAAACTTAGTCTACAAAGCAACAAAAGAGAAATGCCAGTGATTTAATTCCTATTTTTATATAAAAGGCCCTCAGGTGCACCAAGTTTGTACTTGTCTCCAGCAGCATCTAGAAGTGGTACTATTTTCCCCAGATCGTTTCACTTTATCTACATTTCTTAACTTTTTCCACACTTTTAATATGGTATCTATTCTAGCCCTTCTAGTTAACTGTAAAGTTTTAAAATAATACTTCTCAAACTTTTCCAGTAAAGTACCTCTAGTGTAAGCGCATAAACTGTCCTTCAGGAAATTGTACTATGTTTATAAAGCTATGAATTCAAGTGATCCCATGAACTCCTGAAAGTTCTCACTTTGAGAAATATAGCCTTTGAGGGCACAGTAATTTTATTCTTACTCTTTCTCCTACAGTACTTTACAAATAGACCTCAAAAAAAAAATGTTTGACATAGGAGTACTTTACACGAAAGGCTGGAAGAGACTGGCTCGTGAGGAAGAGGAATATACTGACGAATGGTCCTCCGGTGTCGGGCATTTTCAGAAAGGTCACACTTTAATTGGAACAGTTATACGGTAGGTATTTCTTGCCCCACTAAGCAGAAGAGAAAAGCAAAGTCGAACAGGTGACTGGAACTATTTCCGTTTTCAAGTGAGGCAGGTGAACTTTAGAAATACAAAGTAACTTGTTAGAGGTCACATGCATAATGAGGGGCGGGTCCGTGCTTCACACTGCAAAGCCAGAACTAGTTTCAAAAATGGCGAGGCTAATTTTCAATCTCACTTGATAAATGTGACCCTAACTTAAGAGGGGTCTGAGCATAACCTCTGAGATGAAAATCAACCCAGTCGGGGAGCAAGTGACCCAGCCCCTACCTCAGAGACATTTGCTGTCGGCCAGAAGGCCCCGATGCCTAAGGAGAACAGGCATCGTCAGCCTCAAACTCACAGGACAACAGCGTTCACTGCATTTTCTGACCGGGACTGTTAGTTACCTAAATACCCGGTGATAATTGTGACTGGGATCTTAGCGCCGGGGCCAGACGTTTCCTCCTTCTCCTCTCTTTGCTTCGTCTTAATGGGGACCAATTCAGGACAATCCTCCTCCGCCTGCTCCTCTTCCCCATCCGCAGAGCCAAGAGCATGAAACATCCTGGCAAACAGCACAGTACACCTCTACCTAAAAGCAACACCTGGAATCAAGACGCCGGCCCGCAGCTGCGCGTGGTAACCGCGCGGCGCGTGTTTGACGTCATCACACCGCGACGCGTGGCGCCTCCTGATGTCGCCCATGGTTATTACCTGGTCTCCGGCTGAGGACTGCCTCCTCTCTTAGACACGCCCCCAGGGGAACTGGGCAGGTCCCTGGGGCGTGTTCTCTGAACAGGGCCCGAGCGAGGCGGACTTGTTGGGCACAGAACTGACGCTGTCTCTGTGTGCGCCTTTAGCCTTAAAAGCTAATGGCTGGCTGATGGTAGAGTTGAGTCCCGGGTGGCTGGAACCTGGAGTGAGTAGCCTGTCCTAAACAGCTCTCGTGAGGAATAGGCTTTATCAACTTGACGTTTCTTAGTGTCATTAAAAAAATTTTTTAATTCATAGGAGAAAGAATGGGAAGCTAACACTGCAAAGGTAATTGTAAGTTTTCTGCCTGAACTAGTGAAACTTTTTTCTTTTTTACAATTGCAGATTTTACATGTATATCCAAATTTTTACTACATACATGCATTATTTTTATTTATCTTCTCATTTTTTTTATTGGGACTCAGGTACCCTGAGTTCATTTATTATATTCTTTAGTGCATGACACTCTCATCAATAATCCATGGATAGTCTGGACAAAGAATGTCACCTGCCATATCAGTAAACAAAGGCTGTTGCAGCCATCAAGACATTAGCCTCTGCAGCCAAACCAACAGTGCACCCTGAGGGGACTCAGGATGGAGAAAAACGGGATACGGGCCCTAGATAGTTAAGGTGCATATCAAAGGAATGATTTCATTAAGCCCAGACTCTTTCATCTTCCCATACTTAGAAAAGCGCTAAATTCATTAACTTGAGATGTCTGGTTTTCTTTAATTAACAGTAAACTTTTGACGTTCTAACTACCTGGTTTGGGTTTTTTGGGGTTTTTGTTTGTTTTTTTGTTTGTTTTGCAAAAACTCCTAGGTCCTGGCTCCTCCCTTACATCTTCGCAACAGTCCCTTAGAGCTATCTGACAGGCTGCTCCCGGGCTTAATTCCTCATGAATAAAACATAATTCTCAACTTTTAGTTTCTGCATTTTTTTTTTAGTCTACAGTAGCTCTCCTTTATATTTACGTATATATTTATGTATATTTACAGTGAACTCCTTTGACCTCACCTCTAACCCAAGAACATTACCAATAAGTTACACCTATTCATGTGGCAGTCTCCTATTCCAACACTCTGCCTCTCCTCTGAGATAGTAAGCACTCTCATAGTGGTTGATCATAGGTGACTTACTTCCTCTTTTCTTTTTAGTTCTATCACTTATATATGTACTTAGACAATATGATGTTTAATTTTGCTTGTCTTTGAATTTCATAAAAAGAGTATCGTACAATATATAATCTCCTAGGGTTAGCTAATTTTCCAACTCCACTGTTGTATTATATCGTTATATGACTCTGCAGCAACTTATTTATCCATTTCCTGTCAATCATTTTCAGGTTTTGCTCTTATGAACAGCATTGAGTGACGCTTCAGCATTACTGCCTGAACAGAAGCTGTTACAGCTGTGACTTCCTTCTCTTACATACTTCTCAGGCAAGTTCTTGCAGATTCCCTTACATGACTCTGGCTGAACATTATGCTAACATCTCTTATCTCTCACCAGGAACAACGTGTGCCCTTTAGCGGCTCAGTCAAGAGGATGGACAAGTACTGCTGTAACAGTGTGTAGCCTCAGTCAGAAGCAAAAAGAGTTTTATACAGTGGTTAAAAGTTAAAGGCACCCCAAATGTCCATCAGCTGATGAATGGATGAACAAAATATGGTATAATGGAAAAGTATCTCACAATAAACAGAAATAGAGTACTGATACCTGCTACAAGATGAATGAACCTCAAAAGCATTATGCTGAGTGAAAGAAGGCATTCACAGAACACCACATATTGTATGATTCCATTTACATGAAATGTCCAGCATAGGCAAATCTATAGAAACAAAGTAGATTATTTATTACCAGGGACTAGGGGACTGAAGACAGTGACTGTAAATGGGTACATTTGGCGGGGGTGACGGAAATGTTCTAAAATTGACTGTTGGTCATGGTAGCACAACTCTCTGAACACACTAAAAACCACTCAATTGTACACTTTAAATAGGTGTATTGTATGGTATGTGAATTTTATCCCAAAAGAGCTGCTATTTAAAAAAGGCTCCCAGGAGTTTCCTGGTGGTCCAGTGGTTAAGACTCCAAGCTTCCACTGCAGGGGTCCCAGATTCAATCCCTGATCAGGGAACTAAGATAAATAAATAAAATAAAATAAAGTAAAAAAAATTAAAATAAAAGAGTCTCCTCTCTGCATCAAAATGTGGTGGTGACAGTGTGCATTTGCATAGAAGCACTGCCTTCAGGTCTTGCCTCCAGCAGTTTCAAGTCCTGGCCTTCTGAGTATAGTTATCATTTGTGGTAATTTCCCAATTGAGACATACCTAGGTATGAGTATAAAGTTTAGAGCTTAAAATTTTTCCTTTAGTCTCTCTCAATAATATTCTTCAGCAAGATGTCTATCCATGAATTCTATGGAGTTCTACCATTTTCTCTTCTGACTCTAGTAACTGGACAGAATTTAGGAAGCACGTGTCTGAAGAGGTGAGGGATTTGATTTATTTAGTTATATGGCTTTCAATCTCTGCTCTTCTTGCATGTCTGAGTATGACTGTTTTTACTTCTTTCTTAACACAGGATACCAATTTTATCCATTCTATTCTGAGTGAGATGTTGTTGTTGTTGTTTTTATTTAATCCAAAGTGCCTTTTAAAGTAAGTTTTTAAATGTCCTAAGTATAATATTGTAGAATCTATCACAATCTCTTCTATTCTATTCTGCAATCTATTACAATCTATTCCAATGTAACTTTAAAATTTCCTCATTTTTGCGTTTTATTTAATCACAGTTGCTTTATGGTAAAATGATAACAATAATAATAATGTGTGGCTCCCTTACTAAGTGATAGGCATTATGTTAAACATATTAAATGCATTATCTCATTTAACTCTGCAAGATAAATATTATTTGTATACCCATTTATAAGCAAGGAAACTGAGGCTTAGAAAAGTTAGATATCTTGCTCAAAGTTGTACATTCAGTAAATTCAGCCCTGCAGCTCAATGCAGATCTTCCTGACACTAAGTCCCATGCTCTTCTAAACCAAAGATCTGCAAACTTTTTCTGCAAAGGTCCAGGCAGTAAGTACTTTAGTCAACAGGAAAATTCAAGAATTTTATGTAGGTGCTCATAAGAGAGAAAACAAATGTCCACACGTTTTGAAATTTGAGCCTCATATAATTTTCATGTCATGAAATATTATTCTTTTAATTTTTTTCAACCTACAAAAAATATAAAAATCATTCTGAGCTTGCAGGCTGTACAGAAAGAAGCAGCAAGCCATAGTTGGCCAACTACTGATCTAATATGCACTGCCTTGTTAAGCTGAATTTTGCAAAAACAGATCACCCTTGCTATTTTAAACTCAGTTTGTAAATCATTCACCATTGCAACCACTCCCCATCCTCAAAGGTTTAGGTACCATAGTATACTACCATACTAATATTCAGAGGAAGGTAGGTCTGAAACTGAGAAGTCTAAACTATTTCTCCAAGGACACTGATACCCAATTTAAAGAGCACCTGACTCTTTGCATTGTGGTAAGAGCCCTCTGTTGGCGCAGAGCTGGATTCCAGCAGCTCAGCTTTGTGGCAATAACCCTGCCATATGTCCTTTGGCATAATTCCCTGCTCCTCCCTTTTGCCTCATTTTTCTCCTTTGAATAATTATGATAGTTGCCACGAGAAAAAGTAAGGACTGTAGCTACATCCAAATCAGAGGAAAGCTAAAAATAATGCCAACCTGGTATTGTTTTTTTCTCTCAATTTTGCAACTTCCTGCAAAGGAAAGAACAACACATCAGTGACCAGCAATAACTATTGGCTTAGAGAAAAGGAAACTTAGAGTTTCAAAATTAACCCAGTTCCTCTTATCTAGCTGTGGTTGGTAAATAAATAAATATTTCTTAAATGCTAATATTTATTGATTTATTTGCTATTTTTCATTAGATGCACATGAACTTAGTGGGAATATCTCTGAAAGGCCAGAGGCCAGTGGTTTTTATTCTTGTAACTGCCTTAGCTAAGACAGAATAACAATATTCAAGTATCATATAGTCCTCTGTTAAGATATAAAACCATTTTATGCACATGAAATAATATTCCTCCCCCAAAATATTGAAGGTGACTGGCAGGTGAAATAAGTACATTTCTGTGTTTTTAGGGAGTGTGACTTTCATTTAAGGCTGTCAGTAATATTATTTGAATTCATTATCTTAGGCTGTTAAACTATGCTACTTATAAGGCTTAGTTTATAGTCCAGTCACTTTTAAATCAGCTTCCCACAAAATCTTTAAAAAAAAGAAAAGCACCATTCAGAGCCTGCAGGCTGGCCAACTTGAGTGGTGCACTATTCTCTCTAAAATATACTATCAGGCAAAGAGTGGATGTTGAGCAAAACTAGAAAAATGTTGTGCAATGATTTATATTGTAATGGTTTAGGAGACAGTCTAAATAATATCCTCTTCTACTGTCGATAGAAATTTAGAAGTGACATTTGTGGCTTTATTTAAGTTTCACTTTCTAACTTCTATGGTTTTAATGAAGTGTATGCCAAAATCCACAGGCACCTGCTCATGATTGCTTAAATGTAAATAAAAGACACAGAAACAAAAGTGAAAGATCTCCATTCTTCCTTCCTCTTACTATTCCTCCAGATTTCCTCAAAGAGTGTTTAATTGCACTTAACTGAAATACTGTGCTATCAGCAAAGCCAGGGCTTCCTGGTTTCAAGACCAGTGTCTTTGGAGTCCCACAGCTCTGTCTCTCAATTAGGCATTATGACTTCACTTATGGAGGAAG